GCTATAGGACACGTGTGCTCGCCAGACAGACAGAGAGAGACAGAGAGACAGAAAGCGAGAAATCACCCCCAAGGGGGATGGCCATGCTGCAATTCCTTCTCCTCCATTCTCCTCTCGGGATCTTGGGCACACACGCACACACACCCGGTGTGAGTTTAAGCCACCGGGTCCAGGACTTGAACCGTGGTCGACTACATGGGAGTCCAGCGACATAGCCATTACGCTAACTGCTGGTCCCAAGAACGATGATGTTTTAACAAATATACGAAATAAAGACTGCACACAAAGACAAAAAAAAAAAAATCACTCTGGGCATATGTGCCCATGACCCCGGGGGAAAACGGAGGAAAAGGGATTATAGCTTGGCCATCTCTAGCGGGGGTGAGGGGGGGATTTCTCACTTTTCCTCTGTCTCCATCTCTCTCTACAGCAAGACCACATGCCCTATGTCAAAAACCTCTTTTAAAAAAGAATCTTATTTAACTTTATTTATTATTATTAAATTTTCTTTCTTTCTCTCTCTTTTTTTTTGAGAAGTTTTTGCTACAGAGCACGTGCGCTCGCCAGAAAGACAGAGAGAGACAGAAAGCAAGAAATCACACCACACACACACACACCCCACCCCGCCCCGCGGGGATGGCCGTACTGCAATCCCTTCTCCATTCTGCTCTTGGAATCCTGGGCATGCATGCACATGTACCTGCCTGAGTTTAAGCCACCTGGTCTTGGACTTGAACTGTGGTTGACTTCATGGGAGTCCAGCGACATAGCCATTATGCCATCTGCTGGTCCCATTATTATACATTTTTTTAAAAATTGCTATAGGGAATGTGCACTCACCAGGGAGAGAAAGTAAGAAAGCAAGCCACCAGGTCAGGGACTTGAACTGTGGTTGGTCATGTGAGAGTCCAGTACGTTAACCACCACTCCACCTGCTGGCCCCCCACGTGCATTTGTTGATTCATGGCCTCTGTATATTCAAGGCCAGAAGTTTAGCATTTTCAGATCTCTCTGACCTCTGCTTCAGTTGTCACATCTCCTTCTCTGACTCTGGCTCTCCTGACTTCTCTCCTTTATGAGGACTTCTGTGAGTACATCAAGTCCACTGAGATCATCCAGGATAATCTCCCCACAAGATTCTAGGTGTACTCACATTTGGAAGCTCCTTCTGCCATGTATAGAAACATATTTACATTTTCTGGGACTTAAGATGTGGGCCTCTCAAGGGAGCATTGTTCTGTCTACCATAGACCTAGAGGAGGAAATTGATTTGTCTGAGGTCACACACACAGCTATTTCTCATGGAGGACCACACAACCGGCAGAATCACCCTTTCTTCTCCTCTATTGTATGAAGCTGAAATCCAGCCATTCTTCAGGGTTCATGTCAGGCTGTCCCTTTTTTCAGAAGCCACTACTGCCCTCTATGACCCACAGAGTACATCCTCTTGGTCATGTCTGTATCATTCATTGGCAGTTGGCACATATTTGGTCAGCAATCTTGAAGATGTATGTCTTGTTCACTGCTCAGACTCAACACTGGAAGGCAAAGATAATACCTTAGACCTTTTTGTACCCCAAGATCCAAATGCATAGAGAACTCCAATACGTGTATTGTTTATCGTATTCGCGTCTGGTTCTCCAGACTGATTCACTCAGTTCCTATACCATGGAGTATGGAAGGCTAAAACCTGTTTTACCCAGACCTCTTTGCAGTTTGGACTAGGTTCCACTATACTAGACATGGTGAAAGTGAGGTGGTGGCTACAAGTGTAGAGGGAGAAACTACAGAGGACATAGTGGTGGACATGTTTGCTTTTGGAGAGGCAGTTATGCTGGGAGCCATACTGTTTGGTGCTTGGCATCTCAGGAGCCAAGTGATAGGGCAGTGGTCTGGTACAGCTAGGTGTTCCTCAGAGCCACATGGCTTCTGGCTGTGTGGTACTTGAATTTGGTTCCCAAGCCCCCATCAAAATCTATAAGCTTTTCATGCACCAAATAAACCAACTTCTCTAGCTGGAGTGGCTTCTGTTGTCTGCAACTAAGAATGTTTACATAAGGTAGAATACTCTCCTCCCCTACATCCCCACTATAAATCCTCAAAGGGCAGGGACTACATTTGATTTTCCTCTTGTAAACAGCTGTTTAATAGTTCCCCCAGTAAGCTTCTCAACAAAACACGCGCAACTCATTGAACTTGATGATGTTCTAAAATTCTCATGGATTCATCATTTCTGTGATTCGAGAACCTGAAATGAACTGGTGGAATAATGTAGTCCTCTTCCTTTAGAAATCCCAAAGCTAAATTAGAACAGAAGCCAAATTTCTCAAGTTGTAATTTGATTACTTGAAAGGATCAGAGGGGCTGTCAAGGAAAGCCTTTCCTTTTAATATCAAATTTCGTCTATCTAAAAAAAAAGATGTAATATTAAATGGAATTTTATAGTTCATCAGAAATCTCACTGGCCTATCATATTGTTGTATTTCCATTTTCTTTCCAGCCCTATTCCTACACATCCTCATCTTGGCAATCGTTTGCATACATTTTTTGTGTTCTATTTTATACAATGTTAGAACGTGAGTGTTGTCCATAGTTACCTAGTATTCATTTATATTTTTTAAGGGCCAGAAGGCATGTGTACTTGCCAAAGAGAGAGAAGACAGAGAAGGAGGGACGGAGGGAGAGGGAGAAAGCACACCCACCTCCACTAAGCTTGTTCAGGCTGCAATTCCTTTTCTTCCGTTTCTTTATTCTGCTGTGATTTGGAGAGCGCCCACACATGCACCAGGTGGGGTTTTCATGCCATCACAGGTTTGATTGGAACTACAGTCAGCCACATGGGATCCTGCTCCCTTAACCATTAGGCTATGGAACTGGATCCCAGTCTTAGTTTTTCATGGCATCATATTTCCTTCCATAGCCATGTTATAATTCATTGAATAACCCCTCATCCTGGAACATTTAAATTTTCTTCTAGCCCGTTTCTGGCATTAGAGCTTACTCTATGGTCATCATGTTTGGGTCCATTTCCTTAGCTTGGCTTCTCAGGCTCTGGATTGCCTGTCCTTCAGTGGGTCCTTTGCCCCTAGGGCCATCACACACTCTCCTCCCGAAGGATAAGAACACCTGCCAAGCCCAAGTACTGTCTGTCCTCTTTAACTTTTCTTTCTTTTTACAGGTACCTTCTTGTTTCAATTATCTTGGCTTGATTTTAAGATAAGAACACCTGCCAAGTCCAAGTACTGTCTGTCCTCTTTAACTTTTTTCTTTTTACAGGTACCTTCTTGTTTCATTTATCTTGGCTTGATTTTCAGAGCGGGTGCCTGTTTTTATTTTTCAGGGTTTACTGTCTCGTTTTCCTGCTCTCTGAAACAGATCCTGCCATAAATTGCTAGGAGAAGGTTTCCCACCTAGGCCGGGGCGCAGGACCCGCGGAACTCGGGTGCAGCGTCCCAGCGTCCAGGTTAGCGCCGCCAGTTCCGGGTAAGTTCCGGGCATTTCATCGCGGCCCCGCCCCCGCTCCGCCCCGCCGAACTACAATTCCCAGGCGCCCCTACGCGGCTGCCTGTTCAAGCCACCGGTTGGGACGCGGGGTCTGAGGCGCTCCGCGGGACGCAATGGCAGCGTGGGGCGAGCGGCTGGGGGGGGGGCGGGGGGGGGGGGGCCGGGTGCGCGGGGTGCGCCTCGACATCTCTGGGGTACGTGACGACAGCGACGCGAGCGGTGGCGTGGCGATCGCCGGCTCGGTGGACGCCGTGGCGAGGTGAGTGGGCCGCAGGTGCGAAGCTGTGGCTGTAGGGCTCTGAGCTTAGCAATGACAGGCGTCCCCTGGGAGAGCACTGGGCCTCTGCCTGTTAGAGCTGCGCGTCCAGGAGGGCAGCCAGGAATGCGGCTGGTCTGAACTTCAAGTGCTGAGAGGTAAAATACACACTGGATTAACAAGACTTCGTGAGAAAAATGTAAAATGTTGATAACTCACTTATACTGTGTCGGTTGCATATTGAAATGCCACTTTTGGTATATTAGAGTCAATAAAATATGTTAAATGAATTCCACCCACTCTTGACTTTCGTTAGTGTGTTTACTAGAAAACATCCCATATGTGGCTCCAGTTACCATTCTGTTGGACTACATTGCTTTAGATGGGACAAGGAGGAGGGCGTCATGCCGACCAAGCTTGCCCATGGAGGACATTGCCAGGACCATAGTAGCACCGTGGGACTGGGCTTAGTAATCACTGTTGGAATTCCTGGCCAGCATGGCCATGACATTGATGGGCAGCCAGAAAGGACTAATTGCATAGCCCTTGGGCTCCTCAGGTCATTCATGCAACTCCCTGGTTTGGTGGTCTGACCTCTCTAGAACTCATTTTACCTACCTGTAAATGGTATGTTAATAAGCCTCTTGGTTTTTCTCAGACACTGCGTCCTATCTGTCTGTACATAGGGAGGCTGCTGAGATAACAGGGACCCAAACTGTCCCACGCAGGAAAGCAGGAGGTACTTGGGAGGCTGGACACTTGGGCAAGGGAGACCTGGCTCCTAGGAACCTGTGTGAAGGACAGCCAGAATTAGGAGACTCCTCTTGACCCTGAGGTTGGCCCTCAGTGTTGGTTAAATCAGAGGTTTTTTTTTCCTTTTCCTTTTTTTTTTTAATGATTCTTTATTTAATTTTATTTATTTATTCATTTATTTTAATTTGACCAGAGAAAGACACACAGAGAGAAAGAAAGTAAGAAAGCAAACCACCAGGTCCAGGACTCGAACTGTGGTCAGCCATGTGGGAATGTCTAGTGCCTTAACCACCACAAGACCTGCTGTCCCTTGCTTTTTTTTTTTTTTTTTTTTTTTTTTTTTGAGAGATTTTCACTATAGGGCGCGTGCGCTCGCCAGACAGACAGAGAGAGACATTAGAGACAGAAAGCGAGAAATCACCCCCCAGGGGGGATGGTCACGCCGCAATCCCTTCTCCTCCCTTCTCCTCTCGGGATCTTGGGCATGCACGCACACGCGGTGTGAGTTTTAAGCCACCGG